CCCCCCCCCCCCTCAAGAACGGTCTAATATGAGCACAAACCGTATCTCAAATGTCATTCTTAGCAAAATACTAATCTGTGGTAAGTTTGCTCACACAGTTCGATACGTTGTGAATCGTTTCCATTCATGGAACTGTTATTCGAGCACCTTTTCAGTTACCAAAACTCAAAATTGGAACGGACAAAATAAGTTAAACACAAGATTTTAATCGTTACCGTGGCAACAACGAAGGCAAGCCTAAAATTTTGAATTTATTAGGCTGACGCAAAATCTAGATTTTTAGATTTGCTTATACGTTTGCACAAAGCTTACAATTAGTTGCTCTCATTTAAAAAAACTGAACTGAACTGTAACAAACAGTTTTTGAAATTTTTTAGAAATAACTTTCACGAGAATTTGATTGTGTGACAAAACTCCCTTGTTCAACATTTATTTTGACGCTTTCAGTGGATGAAGTGCAATATGAACAGGATTTCAGTCTGCCATATTTCGTAAAATTTTTGACTGTCGTCTGCTTATATTGCCTATGGAAGCAACACGTATTACTGAAGGATAGGCAACCCTCATTGATTATATATTTGCAAATACTTATGCTATGAATGCCATGGGTGGTAACCTAGTCTCACAAATCCCTGATGATCTTCCTCAATTCTGGATTGTCAATCACAGAATGATAATCTGTTTTTTTAAATCGGTTCATACCACTCAATACGGCATTCGTCTCTCCGTTACACTGGTACATTACCTACCAACCCTTGGAATTCTTTATCTTTTGATGTTAAGAGAATCTAGCCGTTTTCTTGTTTTCGTGAAAATATCAAGAATTCTATGATTGATGGTTATAATAGTGTTATCAATCCCTGAGATTTAACCACTTTAACTACTATTTAATTCAAGAAGTAATACTTTTTATCTAAAACAGCTATTTTGTCACCATATTCCTTCAACTCGTATTCTTGTTTTGGGTCATCTATTACGAACTACTTAGGTGTCCCAAACTCTGCGCAACGAACCTAGAATTGAAATATGTGTTTTCCCTCTTCGCAATCTTTTATTTTTATATTTAAGGGCTGTATTTATATTCTGTATGAGTTTAAATAAAAATTGACTTGACTTGCAACGAAACACGCGCTCTCTAAGTACGCATACTCAACACTTGTGCTAGCGCTGTCACGCCATATGTCAAAGGCGACGAAAATATTAATAAATTGCCACTAAAAGCTACTGGGCATTTTCAAAACCGCTTGCTGTGTTGAACAACACAAAGAAAAACGGGTTTCTTGTGACGTCATCCACGTGTCTGTACTCTAAAGATCATTGGCAACGACCAATCACAGCACGCGTAATATTCACCACATTGTATGAAAGGGGATGAAGCATTTTCGGAGACTACTGTTCGGCTACCTTAAATCTGCACCTTTGTCTTTGCCGCAGCTTTCTAATACATTTAATCTATTTACGTCGCCGTGAAGTACAACATTACAACTAATTCGTCATTTTACTATAGTATAGTCCACGTTTTGTGGCCTCGTATGCTAAAGGAATGTAATATTTCTTATCAACTGGGCAACAAGCTTAACAGTTTCACAGATTAATTTAGCCTAATGTGGCCAAAAACGCCGCCATAAATCCTAGGAAAATGGAACTAAAAACAGCACTGAATTCTGGGACGCCAGCGGATGGAGGCTCATTGTCCTCAGGGGTGGGGGTTGTCGTGTTGCTTGACAACGAAACATTTGTTGACACGTTGCTGGATGCCGCTAGCATAGTAACCGTTGCTGTTGGCGTAACTACCCCAGACGATTCTTGGTTGCACATATCTCCCTCACAACAATTAACTCTACACGTTGTTTCATTTGAAGGTAGTGTTTGCTTGCAAGCTGCAAAAATAAACGGAAGAGGGAGAGATAGAGATGAATATTTTTACATTTTGAACTGCATTGCATTGTACCTAATTCTCAAAAATACAGTACTTTGAATCTTTCAAGACGGGCACCGCGGTAAAGCCGAGACACTTCGGAGGAAAAATTAATTCCCAACAACTCGCTAGAGACATTGCAACATCTTCTCAGTTTATGGGAGTTTTCCGGCTGTTCTAGCTCGCACAAAATCCGGTATAAGTTCGATGACGTCAAGAAATCAGCTCCAGCTTTTGCGCGGAGTAGGAGCGGAACAACATGATTCCAGGCTTCGCAAGAAAGGTTTTAGAGAAATTTTCCTTGCTCGCTCTAAAACGGCTCTCAACAGGCTAGTAAGAGTTTGCGCTCCTTATTTTCTCTATTTTCTCTAGCCTGAGTAACATTAGTGAAAAGAAGATAAATCCATGCCTTCCTAGCGGCTCATTAAATTAAGAATTTTGTATAGGGCCTTGAACAGCACCTATCGCAGAAACCCTCAACCTTTCACATACCACAGTTTTTTTTCAATTTTCCTTCCATGGCTATAGACAACTGTTCCGCTTTCTATATACTCACAGAATCGAGCTCTGTTGTTATAGTTTTATAAACCTTTACCTTTACCCGTACCCTAACCCTTACCCTTTTTGGGCTTTTGAAAAAAAAAAGCTCAATGATGCCATACGACAAATGGGATTTTATTCGTTCTTATCCCTTTGTTAGGGTCGCCAGTGTTGTTGCATCTAGCTCCGGGGGGGGAAAGGGTATTCCCGTATATGGGCTAGATAGATATGTGCTGCCAGATAGGGTGTGGTTTTTGAGGGTCTCCATCTTTCAACAGGGTATCATTTTTGCCCATTTTGGCATTGTGTTCCCAGTTTGTTTCTTAGATAGAGTATCTAAATTCTGACAGCTAAAATTCAAGTGCGTAAATTTCCAGCTACAGGAGAAATAAATTATTTGTTAAAACTGAGCAATCCTTCGGAGTATTAGGAAAACGACTTAATAAAGTCTGTACATTTTTTTTCCTCCCCTCGAAGAGAGTGTCACTTTTTCGGGTTGGGGCCTTAAATAGTCTAAATAGAAGTTTACCTTTTTCTTATCTTTAAAAGGGTCACGGTCAGAAAGACCATGGGTGGTACACACCTATCTGAAGTTTATGGGAGTATCCTCCGAGATCTAACTGCAACGCGTCTTACTGGCCAGTTTTATCTTTATCACCGGTCTCATTTTGTTCACCGGTATTTAGGTCACTTGTTCCTTACTTTACGTCATGATCCCTTAATATTTGTCACAGCTCCTTTGTTTCCGGGAGGCTTCCTAGTCTTCACCCCCTAACCCGTGGGGGCGCGGGTGAGGGGGTGGAGACGTATGACATTTCAGACTAGAGCCTTCCGAGATGAGCCTGTGACAAGTGGCGTGCCAAAATGGCACGACTACGTTTAATATTTCGCCCGTTTATTTTTAGGGAGGGACCCTCTTTCAGGATGGAATACACCACAGGCCCTTCGCGTAAAGTTGCCTTGTGTATGACACTTACGATAGCCAGCGCCATCCTCTTGACAAACCATTTTAGAATGTGAACAATTTTTCATTATAACGGTTTCTGGCCCCCCAATCGTAACATTCTTCATCCTGGTAACTGTCATACAGCGATCTGAAAAGGCCTCACAGTTGATGCTTGTTACATTAGGACCACCACAAGGAACGTCATCAGAGCCACATGACTGGCACTTGAGAGACAATGCTGCGTAAAAAAATAGAAAATCCTTTGGATTGCTTTTTGTATATTGAAACAATAAAAACAAAACATACTACTTGACCAACAACAACAACAACTGCCCTCTACTACTACTACTACTACTACTACTACTACTACTACTACTACTACTACTACTACTACTACTACTACTACTACTACTACTACTACTACTACTACTACTACTACTACTACTACTACTACTACTACTACTACAAAAAACTGTTCCGTCTTAAAGGATTGCGGATTTCTCCAGAGCTTGTATTGTTACAACTATAGCGGTATCGTCGAAAACTGTTTTATTAAATGCTGTACTGGAAATCTCTGCAACGACAACACTGTGAAGCACGTAGAAACTCCCGTAACTCGCTTGAATTTCATAACAACAATAACGTATCCGAGTTTGACACGTGCTACGAGGAGTCAAGTAACCATAGCGACGCCTGGACTACCTGGGCAGCAGCTAACGTCATCGTCAATGTCCCGGGTTTACAGTACATTCGCTGAGACTGGCATGAGTACACGCTGGACTTCTGCAAGTACCCTAACGAATATGTTCAGTAGAGACCTTGTGCAACCTCCTTTAAGAAAAACTATTGCGCCATGTGGCGGTGCAGATAGATTGTCACATATTTACTCGTCCTTACCTACTGTAATTTTGTTTGGCATTTTAAACGTATGTGCCATCATCGAGGGATTGTAACTCATATCAAAATGATGAAAACTAAACTGATGCTTGTAAATAAAACTTTGATCACAGATAATGCAGAATAACACTTGAGGCCTCACGTGCAGAGGCGATACATTTTTTAATTTCTTCCGTTACATGTACATGATGACGTAAAATGATCATTCTACTTTGCAGATCTTTTACTTACGGTTACCATTTGACAGATTCGGTTTATTCATATGACCATAGGCTGTTCAGAAGCTCCTAAGATCGTAAGGATCGAGCGCTTACCGGTAAGACGGACATCTTGGTTTCATATGTACCGAAATCGCAACCCGTCTTCGACCCTAAAGTAAATGTAACACTCATCCAAGATGGCCGCCCGTAACGAAAAGCTCTCGATCTCGACGTTCGCGCGGAAAAAATAGGGGCCTGTGAACAGTCCGGGGTGCGGGGGAAGGGGTGTCTCCAAGTAAATCTGTGGTACAGGACGTACAGTCCGCCTGCCAGTATGACGTCACGTCTCGCATCAGTGACTTTCAAAATGGCAAGCTAAGGTCCCTATTGTCATAGAAAACTAGACTTAAGTTCTTTTTTGGAATGAAATGTCCAGTGGTGTAATGAATTTTAAAGATTCCTTTCTATCGTCGAGCAAATTTTACTGGCAATCATACCGACCGGTCACACTTTTGAGGGCCAGTGCACAGCAAGACTGAGTAATTTAGACACAGCAATAGGAGGTTCATCAAAGGATGTATTATACTTTACATTGTGCGTATTTTAAGCTCTTCAGAGCCAGTGGAATCCCATATCAATCCTTTTTAAAGGTCGCTTAGCTGTAGCGTTTAAACAGGAAGCTAAATGACAGGTATTTGTGTGAGACTGTGAGCATTGAATCTTATTGCTTTCCCGCAGTTTATTGGACATACACCTGTAATTCTGTAATTAAATCCCGAAAACCAATAAAAGGTTTCGTTTAATTATTTTTTGGGCAACCCAGTGGAGATTTTAGGGCAATAATATTGATGATTAAGACGATGTACAAAAAGGCAAGTTTAAATTTCGCCAGCGGGTCACTGGTGGGTGTTGGGTGTAAATTAGTACAGTTTGTGGTGTACTGTGTGTTGTTAGTCATGATGTCAACTAACATTGAAAACGATTCAGCTGTTTCAGAGAAGGGATATGTCTTGACAGGGCTTATGGTTTTTATCTGGTCGTAAGCTTGGCCAGTATACAGATCAAGAGGTTTTGAAATCCCTTTTCCAAAATAAAACTCCGGACTTAAGCTTAAAATATATTGTGATAAAAGTGCATGATCAGCAGGGTCAGCGGTTATAATGAAGGAAAACAGGCCAAAAGGAAAAATACTGTTAAAAAACAGAGACCAAACAGAAAAAAAAAACGGTACGACAAGGAAACAGAAAACAGCGTGGCCGGGAGTTGAACCCGGTTTATCTGCACGTGCAAGCAACTCTTTGACTACTGCACAACAGTGACACACATGATTTCTAAAACTAATTTTGTCATATCAAAACAATTTTTCTCTGCCATAGACGCTGTTTGAAGCTAGTGGAGCTCTATTTATCATGAATTCAAATATACATTTGAGGAAAATTAAGCGCGTATTTCAAAGCTATTTCGCATTATTTCGGGTTCAACGTGCCGACTCGATGTAGATAATCGATCGAACTGGCTTCTACTGAATTTGGTGGAGAATTAGGAGATGAACAGAGGCCCGCACTCGAAAGGATTGATAAGAAGTTAGGCCCCTTTAATTAGCAAAAGAATAGATGAAATTCAAACATGTGTGATCTGTGAATAGAACCTCCTATTCTGGAGACTAGACTTTGCCTGTTTTATAGAAAAAAAGGATTTAAGTTTTGATGTCCTTGCCAGTCCCGTGAAATAGACGGCGATGACCCGCATCACGTTGCGCAAATCAAATTTATACAATTACGGACACAAAATATCAAAACGGTTTACACAAGCAGATTATGGCAACACCAAAGCTCACACACATTCGATCAAATGAGTGCAGTATATAGCGGTATTTGCTAGCTTCTTAGCTTTTCCTCGACCTCGCTCGTCCTAACAACTGTCGTATCCCTTGCTAATTTGCACAAGCGACCCGAGGCTCTTGCCCGTTACCATGTGACGTCATACTGGCAGGCGGAGTGGGTCAAAAAACTCAGGTGAAAAACAATAGAGTTACCTCCCCCCCGGAACAGTCTAATATGAGCACAAACCGTATCTCAAATGTCATTCTTAGCTCAATACTAATTTGTGGTAAGTTGGCTCACACAGTTCGATGCGTTGTGAATCGTTTCCATTCATGGAACTGTTATTCGAGCCCCTTTTCGTTACAAAGCTCAAATTTGGAACGGACAAAATAAGTTAAACACAAGATTTTAATCGTTACCAAGGCAACAGTGAAGGCAAGCCTAACATTTTGAATTTATTAGGCTGACGCAAAATCCTGTCATTAGATTTGCTTATACGTTTGCACAAAGCTTACAATTAATGGCTCTCATTAAAAAAAAAAATGAACTGAACTGTAACAAACAGTTTTTAAAATTTTTTAGAAATAACTTTCGTGAGAATTTGATTGCGTGACAAATTAAAACTCCCTTGTTCAACATTTATTTGACGATTTCAGTGGCTGAAGTGCAATATGAACAGGATTTCAGTCTGCCATATTTCGTAAAATTCAGTTTTTGAGTATCGTCTACTTATATTGCCTATGGAAGCAAGACGTATTACTGAAGGATCGGCAACCCTCATTGGTTATATATTTGTAAATACTTATGCTATGAATGCCATGGGTGGTAACCTAGTCTCACAAATCTCTGATCATCTTCCTCAATTCTTGATTGTCAATCACAGAATGATAATCTGTTTTTTCAAATAGGTTCATACCACTCAATACGGCATTCGTCTCTCCTCCTTTAAACTGGTACCAACCTTTGGAATTCTTTATCGTCAAAATATCAAGAATTCTATGATTGATGGTTATAATAGTGTTATCAATCCCTGAAGTTTTATGATTTTATCAGGATTATATTATCCTCAACTACTATTTAATTCATGAAGTAATACTTTTTTTATCTAAAACAGCTATTTTGTCACCATATTCCTTCAACTCGTATTCTTGTTTTGGGTCAATTACTACGAACTACTTAAGTGTCCCAAACTCTGCGCAATGAACCTAGAATTGAAAAATGTGTTTTCCCTCTTCGCAATCTTTTATTTTTATATTTAAGGGCACAGAATTGTATTAATATTCTGTATGAGTTTACATAAAATTGACTTGACTTGCAACAGAACACTCACTCTCACATTGCCCTCTAAGTACGCATACTCAACACTTGCGCTAGCGCTGTGATCACGCCGTATGTCAAAGGCGACGAAAATATTAATAAATTGCCACTAAAAACTACTGGGCATTTTCAAAATCGCGTGCCGTGTTGAACCGGGTTTCTTGTGACATCATCCACGTGTCTATACTCTAACGACCAATCACAGCCCGCGTAATATTCACCACATTGTATGAAAGAGGATAAAGCATTTTCGGAGACTACTGTTCGGCTACCTTAAATCTGCACCTTTGTCTTTGCCGCAGCTTTCTAATACATTTAATCTATTTACGTCGCCTTGACGTACAACATTACAACTAATTCGTCATTTTACTATAGTATAGTCCACGTTTTGTGGCCTCGTATGCTAAAGGAATGTAATATTTCTTATCAACTGGGCAACAAGCTTAACAGTTTCACAGATTAATTTAGCTTAATGTGGCCAAAAACGCCACCATAAATCCTAGGAAAATGGAACTAAAAACAGCACTGAATTCTGGGACGCCAGCGGATGGAGGCTCATTGTCCTCAGGGGTGGGGGTTGTCGTGTTGCTTGACAACGAAACATTTGTTGACACGTTGCTGGATGCCGCTGGCATAGTAACCGTTGCTGTTGGCGTAACTACCCCAGACGATTCTTGGTTGCACATATCTCCCTCACAACAATTAACTCTACACGTTGTTTCATTTGAAGGTAGTGCTTGCTTGCAAGCTGCAAAAATAAACGAAAGAGGGAGAGATAGAGATGAATATTTTTACATTTTGAACTGCATTGCATTGTACCTAATTCTCAAAAATACAGTACTTTGAATCTTTCAAGACGGGCACCGCGGTAAAGCCGAGACACTTCGGACGAAAAATTAATTCCCAACAACTCGCTAGAGACATTGCAATATCTTCTCAGTTTATGGGAGTTTTCCGGCTGTTCTAGCTCGCACAAAATCCGGTATAAGTACGATGACGTCAAGAAGTCAGCCCCAGCTTTTGCCCGGAGTAGGAGCGGAACAACATGATTCCAGGCTTCGCAAGAAAGGTTTTAGAGAAATTTTCCATGCTCGCTCTAAAACGGCTCTCAACAGGCTAGTAAGAGTTTGCGCTCCTTATTTTCTCTATTTTCTCTAGCCTGAGTAACTTTAGTTAAAAGAAGATAAATCAATGCCTTCTTAGCGGCTCATTTAATTAAGAATTTTGTATAGGGCCTTGAACAGCACCTACCGGAGAAACCCTCAACCTTTCACATACTACAGTTTTTTTTCAATTTTCCTTCCATGGCTATAGACAACTGTTCCGCTTTCTATATACTCACAGAATCGAGCTCTGTTGTTATAGTTTTATAAACCTTTACTTTTACCCTTACCCTAACCCTTACCCTTTTTGAGCTTTTGAAAAAAAAAAAAAAGCTAAATGATGCCATACGACAAATGGGATTTTATTCGTTCTTATCCCTTTGTTAGGGTCGCCAGTGTTGTTGCATCTAGCTCCGGGGGGGGAAGGGTATTCCCATATATGGGCTAGATAGATATGTGCCGCCAGATAGGGTGTGGTTTTTGAGGGTCTCCATCCTTCAACAGGGTATCATTTTTGCCCATTTTGGCATCGTGTTCCCAGTTTATTCCTTAGATAGAGTATCTAAATTCTGACAGCTAAAATTCAAGTGCGTAAATTTCCAGCTACAGGAGAAACAAATTATTCGTTACAACTGAGCAATCCTTCGGAGTATTATTATCCTTAAAAGGGTCACGGTCAGAAAGACCATGGGTGGCACACACCTATCCGAAGTTTATGGGAGTATCCCCCGAGATCTAACTGCAACGCGTCTTACTGGCGAGTTTTATCTTTGTCTCATGTGTCAGTTTGTTCACTTGTATTTAAGTCACTTGTTCCTTACTTTACGCCATGATCCCTTATTCTTTCTCACAGCTCCTTTGTTTCCAGGAGGCTTCCTAGTCTTCACCCCCTAACCCGTAGGGGCGAGGGTTAGATGCTTCCGAGATGAGCCTGTGACAAGTGGTGTGCCAAAATGGCAGCAACCGTAAAATTTATCTCGGAACATTTCCATGTCAATATTGTCGCTGCCACGCCAACTGATTTTTGATAGCCATGTTTTCTTAAACTTAGATTAAAATAAGATGTTCAATGTATTATCTGTCACTTTTCCATCAAAATATGTTTCACGTGATGGCTATGTTAGGGGTAGGCTTGTTCAAATGTGGGCTTAGCCAATAACTTCAACAATTAAACCTCACAATGACGTCACATTACGTCATTTTGTCAATCAAATTATATCTCGATACTGGAGATGGCAAGTACATTATGTTGTGTAAGTTTTGCTAGACGTATCCGGTGAGCGGTATTTAAGTTATAGAGGGGGGCTTCCGAAGTACCCCCGGTCTTAGGAATACCTCCAAAAATCCCAGTTTGAATTAGCCTGCGTTGCAGTCGTAAGTTATCCTCGGTTAGAAACGTCTGCGAAGTGGCGCCGATATCCTTGTTCTGCGGCTCCAACGGACTCAACTGATTACCGGGAGTACGTTTCGAATTTCCTTTAATCTTGATTGGCAAATTGACAATGATCAATCCTGGCGCTTACTCAAATCCTGGTACAAAGGGTGGAGGGGAAGAACGAGGATTCCGGCGCTGTTTCTCAGACGGACTTAACCAGAGTTTGGTTTCGTCTGCGGTACAGGCTAAGTTTTAATATGGTTAACTACGTTTAATATTTCCCGAGGATCGCCCGTTTATTTTTAGGGAGGGACCTTCTTTCGGGGAGGTTCACTACAGGCCCTCCGCGTAAAGTTGCCTTGTGTATGACACTTACGATAGCGGGGGCCATCCTCTTGACAAATTATTGTAGAATGTGAACAATTTTTCATTATAAAGGTTTGTGGCCCCCCAATCGTATGATTCATCATCATGGTAACTGTCATACAGCTATCTGCAAAGGCCTCACAGTTGATGCTTGTTACATTAGGACCATCACAAGGAGCGTCACCAGGGCCACAGGATTGGCACTTGAGAGACGAAGCTGCGTAAAAAAATAGCAAATCCTTTGAATTGCTTTTTGTATATTGAAACAATAACAACAAAACATATTACTTGACCAACAACAACAACAACAACAACTGCCTACTACTACTACTACTACCACCACTACTACTACTACTACTACTACTACTACTACTACTACTACTACTACTACTACTACTACTACTACTACTACTACTACTACTACTACTACTACTACTACTACTACTACATACTACTACTACTCCTACTATTACTACTGTAAATAAGTTAAATATGAAGTTTATTTCCTCCTGTATGAAAATACGTGATTCATTGTTACTAATGTAGCTGAATTTTTTAGTTTATTATCAGTGTTGTTTGTTTTACATTTTGATTGTAATGGGCACAGCGATTATTTCTTTTTGGAGAAACGAATGTTTAAAACAATACTTTAATATTTATTACGAAAAGGAACAATGACAGAAACTGTAACAGTAACAAATATAGTCAATATATACGGTGAATGTTCAGTTAACGTGAGGGAATTTGAATCTATTTCTACGCCGATATCTTTGACAGTGTCACTTACATCAATAACGTAAATAAAAGCTATCTGATGCGGTATCTTCGACGTCCAATTCGTTGATCCCGTCGAAAAGATCCTTGTCGCGTGGAAATAAAAGTAATAGGGAGCTTAAGCAACGACGACAGCGAGGGCAACGAGGACGGCAAAAGAGCAAGAGGTTTATATTAGCAAAACAACAGCTTTGCACGTGCATCATGCTTTTTTGTACATTTCTTAGCCGTCGTAGCAGACTACGACGTGAAAGTGCCTAATTTCACGTTTTGTCGAGGACGAGAACACAAGACAACAACTTTCTTTTTCTTTTCCTGAACAGTCATACAGTTCTTTAGAATTCAACTCCAGAAAAATTGGCTAACATTTGACGAATTAAACGAGATGGAATAAGGGCGATAAATTTCGAGGCAGCGCGAATTCACGAATTCACATTTCATAGCCGTCACCATCGTTGCTGCTTAAGCTCCCTTATACTACTACATGAGAAATTTCTGCAATTTGATTGGCTTAGAGCAGTTGTATTTCAGCTTAATTTGAAATACCTACATGTGAAAATTACAAACCTTTTGCGGGTAGTAGTATAAACAAATAATAGCATGATTTGCACGTGATATTTGGCATAAATACCACTCGTGATATTCCAAAATTGTCTCAAATTTCACTCGCCTAACGGCTCGTGAAATTGCGTATAACAATTTTTTATGCCAAATATCACTACAAATCATGCTATTACCTATACTAATTGCTCAATATAACGGTAACTGTTCATGAGTTATATAATTAATTAATCTATTCGACGTCGATAGCGTCATTGTCACTCGCATAAATTACCACCCGAGCAGTCGCCAGAAAATTTGAAGAAGAGATCATTCGTTTAAAGAATTTATGCACTCACATGTATGCAACTATGGACATAATAGTTGCCAAACTCAGACAAAGACCACTGTTTTTGTAATGTGGCATTACCCTTCTTTGGTGAGCAATTAGAGGGAGATGAACCTCGATTGATACGACGTACCCTTACTCTAATATTAAAATAAATTATTAGAATAGGGGCGCGTTTTAAAATGGGTGCGCTTATTACCAAAAACACATTCGAAGGGGGACGCTTATTCGAAAGGGGGCGCTTATTGGAAGGAGGGCCAAAAATTGAATCAATACTACTCAACTCAACAACTCACTTTGATTCTGAAGATGACTACCGCACAGGTTGTCGAAACGTCAGTCACTATCAACAACAACACAGTCCTATTGAGGACTACGTTCACCCGGACGATCAAACTCAACCTACTTTTAAAGATAACGATATTTCAAAAACGCCAAAGGAAATCTGTTGACAACAACTTTAAAATAGGCAAACGAGCACATTGAAATTGTTCAACAATACACCCTACGTACACGTTTAATTCCAACTGGAAACTTTACTCTTCCACATGAACGCTTAAAAGAAAAAGCCCTACATGCCTTCTTCAGTATACGGAAACATACCCTCCTTAATAGACTTCATTCCAATACCGCATCCCAGATTTTCGACGCAATAATTTTTCCGATATTAAGCTACAACATTGAGGTGTGGGGGATGTACACTAAGCAAGACTTTAAAACATGGAATAGGTCCCCCATCGAAAACATTCGTCTCCAGTTTTGTAAACGCTACATGGAGGTGAACAATAAAGCCTCAAATTTAGCTTGTAGAGCTGAGCTTGGAAGATTACCACTAATAATACCAATTAAAGAGAAAATTATGAAATATTTTATTTATCTAAACAACAAAGATAATGACTCTATAGTTAAACAATTTTTCCTTATGTCAAAGAATCTTTACTCTGTTAATAACTCTGGATTTTACACCAATTTCATTAACATGGTAGAACAAAACAGTCCATCCACTTTAGATCCTGCATGACTCCATGAATCCTGCATGAATAGATAAAATTAGGCGATACACAAACAACATGAACGAGAAATATATAACTTTCTGGCTACACAGCCTTGAACACTCAAAGAAATTAAAATTTTAAAAAGTTTTTAAAGATGAATACACTACATCCGATTATTTATACCAGTTAAGAAATTTTAATGAAAGAAGAAGTTTAGTGAAGTATAAAATAAGCCGAACCACAAACTTATGATTGAACTTGGAAGACATCAGATCGATCATATGCTTTGAGAAAATAGATTATGTCCATTGTGTAAGTACAAAAAAAGTGAAGATGAAAATCATTTCTTGTTTCAATGTCAGGAATACTATTCGCTGACGAGAAGGTATTCTCACGCAAAATCAGCGAGATTGTAGCTGACATTGAAAGGAAACCGACTACTGAAATCATTAAACTTCTGATGAACTCTAACAAACTGTATTTCATAAATAAACTATAGAGCGGTTTTCACTTGACTGTCGTAAAACCAAAACCAAAGTAAATACACTAGCCAACCAAAGGGCGTAGTAAAACCAAAACCAAAACCAAAACCAATCCCTTTCGACAGTCAAGTGAAAACCGCTCTAGTAATGAAGTTAATTTCCTCGTGTATGAACATACGTGATTCATTGTTGTAAGCTAAATAATGTTAAACAACTTTAGCTAATTTGATGTAATATTATTAGCCTTGTTTTGTTATTAATGTTTATAGAATGATATGCTTTTGCAATAATGTCAAATGTTACGGTCATGCAAATAAAGCGATTTACTACTACTACTACTACTACTACTACTGCTGCTGCCGCTGCTGCTGCTGCTGCTGCTGCTGCTGCTGCTGCTGCTGCTGCTGCTGCTGCTGCTGCTGCTGCTACTACTACTACTACTACTGTTACTGCTACTACTACTACTACTACTGTTACTGCTACTGTTACTCTACCACTACTATTACTGGTATCTTAATTTAATCATGGTATCCAAATTGGAATCTGGAACCCAAGTTTCACTGACAAAGACTGCGGAATCTAGCACCTGGAATCTGGAATCTGTAGCGAGAAATTTAGAATCTAAGCAATACTGTCTTGGAGTACCTTACATGCCGGGCGAGCAATGCATGCGGGGAAGTCTTGACAGCTGAAGAGCTTTCCCATAAACATTGGGAAGTAAGTGGACTTTAACAAGCTTTAATTTACAAGCCGCAATATCCACATAAAATATCTCCAAGCCTACGTCAGATGTTGATTTCTTTTGCAGTGTTTTGCGTTTTTGGTTTTAAAGACGCGCGAGATGTCAAACGAGAAACCTCGTTTCCCCATTCCCTATCGTTTTCTCTTCTACCTTAGTTAAGCTTTCACGTGGCTGTGTCTCTTTCTTTACGAGATAGTACCAAAAAGAAAAAACAACAACAACAAAATCAGCAGAAAAAAAAAACGCAAATCATGTTCCTTGCTTGATTAACAAGACTTTGCGTATTTCATCTTGCTCAATATCAAGTTCAAATTTAGAGTAGACATGACAACAGCTTGGTTTCCACTAGCGCATAAGAATAAGCATAAGCATAAGCACTTAAGCATAAGTACAAGCATAAGGACATACGTACGCGCAGAATGGTTATTTGACTCAATTCTCGATACCAGCTCTCCTCAACCCGATGATAAACAAGATGGCGGACGACAATGTCTTCTTCTTAGCTTGTGAATATGTCGACCCCGTTCTCACTAGTCAAAGCTACGACGTAAGCATAAGCATAAGCACAAGTGTTCTCACTTGCTTACACATGTGCTTGTGCCCATATGCTAATGTTTATGCGCTAGTGAAAACCAGGCTTGAGCGAGGATTCTGACAACGATGCTGGGATCATGAAAAGAGCGATATGGATCCGTAGACGACCTAGAGGTATCAATGGATGGAGTGGATATTCCTTCATTTTTGTAACCCCCTTGATATTTTTGCCGAAAGCATTTTAGTTTTGTTGAGCTTGTTACAGTTTTGAGGATAAACGCCCCTCCACCTCTTTCTCCTATATATTTAACGCCTCCTTGTGGACCCCAAAAATTAAGTAGATGCCCAGGGCGTTTATTATGTCATTTACAGTATTCGATATTACAAGGCTTCCTTGGCTTGCAGCTGTTTCGGGTAACCTGGGATTTAAAAAATTGAAACGTCTTTGGATTTTGGGTTTTTCTGCAACGCCAAATCGGCGCTTTCTCGCCTTCACAGCTTAGCGGACCTCATTGCATAGAAAAAAAATGGTCATGGTTTGTGATTTGGATTGGTGGATTTCGTTTTTGAGCTATTTTGAAAAAATAGCTCATATATCAGTGGTGTGAGGGTATGTATCTTTGTGGCTTTGTATGTTCGAATGTTCGTTGCAAGAGCCAATAAGGTTGAAGGTACTATGAGTTGATGCTTAGGACCCAATCAGATCTTGGCATCTATTAAACATAGCATTGCTAAAGGTCGAACAAGAGCTCTTTGAGACCGCCATCTTGATTCTTCACAATTTTTTCGTCTTTTATTACGGCTACAGGTGTTTAGAAGCATTACATTAAATATATCTTCATGATTCAAACGCCGTGTACAGTGGTGCAGCTGTTAAAGGGTTCATATTTTAGTGTGGATGCTGCTTCAAGACATTTCTGACCGGATTCGGCTATCGCGAACGGTACAACGCACGTATTTATGAGTTCTGTTTGACCTGCTTCAAGGTAGAGTATAAATGATCATATATTTTCAAAGCTCTTCCAATGAAACAATAATTGATAATTAGATATAGACTTTAATTCGAAACTATGCGGTCTATAAATTGTGGTTTTATATGTTTGAAAGGAAGCTTATTTTTTTGGAAGTTGTACCGAGTATTGTTAATTCTGTAAACACGCCTTATTCTCTCGCTCACAAAGTTCAACAGACCCTTTCGTTCCGGCCAAAAAAAAAAAAAACATGAATAAATGAACAACATGATACATCCTTCCTGCTTACTAAGTATTGTAGTTTTTGAGACGTATTTCATTAAAGTAGATAACCTCGTGAATATTGGTGATTCGACCATTTACAACAATGATAAAAATCTTAGCTATTCGGTATTCGACAGCATAGCCGCATCTTTAAGTCGTTGTCGTTGTCTTTGTGCTGTTCAATAAGTCAGATGACTAAAATGTGTTTTTCGTTTCTAGGGTAACAATCGTGACGCGTAATTTTCTCCTGTTCATACTGTTGAACTAGGACTGAGAATATTCCTGGCTACTGGCAAATTGGGTGAATTATTTAGAGGTTCGTATTTCTCTAACGTGAAAAGTTTGTTTTCAGCTACTGTTGTTTGTTTTTGATCGATTCGATTAGTGAGTTTAACAAACATTTTTTCTTCCTTATTGTAGGTGGACCACTGGCATGCTATGTTTTTGAATTCACCAGTCAAGTCATGCTATCAATCGCTGTTCACAGTGCTTCCATTTTTGGTAATATGACTTCTATTGCCAGCACCATGACAATCAAAGCTGAATTTATTAAGCCAACGGTGCTGAGATGTTTCATGATCATACAGTGCTAAAATATTCACACGCGAACTTTGCAATCTGGCTTGAAATGATAGAGCTCAAAGTAGATAACAGTCCGCTTCAAAAAGTCTTCTGTAAGAGCGTTTAGCAGAGGAAAATCCAAGAGCTGATTTCGGACGGTTGTATAAAAAGAAAAACGTAATTTTGTTTCTTGATTAAAATTGTAACATTACACTATTGGCGAAACACAAGACACAACTCAAGATTCAAGATCATTATCTGTCTACGTGTCAGATATCGTGTTACTCGAGTGGCAATTGGGATATGAAGATACTATCTTTTTGCTAATTTCAAAACCTTGATGTTTCGTATTGGTTATTAGTCGACCTTTTTTTACAGAGCGAGACTCTTAAAATGCATGCGTTTTTTTGTTTTTGTTTTTTCGTCGGTCTTCCTCAATTGGTCAGCCATGGTCCCAGGCGTTCTTAGCGGAGACCGTGGAAACTGGGGATAAGAATCGTGACGGCTTTTGTTGTATGCAAACGAGTCTCGTGATGAACATGCGGTTTATTTTCGGCGGTGACTGAAATGACGCATGTAAGTTTATCTCGTTTCTAGCTGTTTNGTCCGCTTCAAAAAGTCTTCTGTAAGAGCGTTTAGCAGAGGAAAATCCAAGAGCTGATTTCGGACGGTTGTATAAAAAGAAAAACGTAATTTTGTTTCTTGATTAAAATTGTAACATTACACTATTGGCGAAACACAAGACACAACTCAAGATTCAAGATCATTATCTGTCTACGTGTCAGATATCGTGTTACTCGAGGGGCAATTGGGATATGAAGATACTATCTTTTTGCTAATTTCAAAACCTTGATGTTTCGTATTGGTTATTAGTCGACCTTTTTTTACAGAGCGAGACTCTTAAAATGCATGCGTTTTTTTGTTTTTGTTTTTTCGTCGGTCTTCCTCAATTGGTCAGCCATGGTCCCAGGCGTTCTTAGCGGAGACCGTGGAAACTGGGGATAAGAATCGTGACGGCTTTTGTTGTATGCAAACGAGTCTCGTGATGAACATGCGGTTTATTTTCGGCGGTGACTGAAATGACGCATGTAAGTTTATCTCGTTTCTAGCTGTTTGGCAATGATGTAATTTTCCCCGATTCGAGGCCCTTAATTTTCGTGTAATTATGCATGCGTATTAAAAAGGAAATACAGTCGATCCTCTCTTAACGGACACCTCCGTAAAACGGTTCCTAGAGTTGGTTCCTGCCTTTCTTTGCTCCCTTTATTTGACTCTCTCTAAGACGGACAGCTAGTACCGGTCCCAAAGGTGTCCGTCTTAGAGAGAGTTGACTGTACCTCGATGAGGAAATATTATAGCGGGAAAATCCTGTTTTGTGGTGTATTGAGGCGTTATGGTTCTCAGAATATTATCGCAATTACATTTTTTCTTTTCTTATTGTAGGTGGACCACTAGCATGCCATGTTTTTTTTAATTCACCATTCAAGTCCTGCTATCAATCGCTGTTGACACACTGTTGACACTGCTTCGATTATTTGGGATGTGGCTCCTATTGCCAGAACTATGACAATCAAGGCTGAATTTATTAAAGGGCCAACGGTGCTGAGATGTTTCATATTAGTGTTTAAATATAATATTTAAACGTGAACTTCGCAATCTTGCTTGAAATGACAGAGCTCGAAGTAGATAACAGTGAATCCGCTTCAAAATGTCTTCTTCGAGGGCGTTTAGCAGAGGACAGTCGAAGAGCTTCATTCGGACGGTTGGGAAAAAAAGGTAATTTCGTTTCTTGACTAAAATTGTAAAGTTACGCTATTGACGAGAGACAAGACACATATCAAGATCAAGATCATTATCTGTCTTACGTGTCAGATATCATGTTACTTTGTCTTGGTTATTAAGAAGAATTAGAATTAGTAGTTCAATCCCACATATAAGTGTAAAAGATGCTGCAGTTTTTTCATAGCTGGTATTAAATGATAGCGATTTTATTTATTTGTCCAGGGAAGGCAAGCCTAGTTTCAACACGATACTTGAGTTTGCTATTCCTGATAATTAAAACTGTTGCAGCTGATTATTGTTTTAGTTTCTAAAGGTATCTTGAAAGACTAGGGATCAATTCCTGGTTGTACTGCCAGAGAAGTCTTAGGTAGGTTTTAAGTCTACTTGACCTAAACCTTCAAAAAGCTGAAAAAGTTGTTTTACATAGTAAGGGAAAAAAAGAAATTAAAATATTTTAATATTTTAATTCTCCACTGAAGATTCTCCGAAAGTCAAACTTGTTGAGTTATTCACTCTGAAAGTAGTCAATTTATACATTTCATTGTCAGTAACTTTATTTTATTCCGAAGCGTTATGCTCGGCCTCTCTCATTCTCTTCTATAAGTCTCCCTCCTTCCCTATTGAATAAACATCAGGTCGAGTTACACCTACGTGTAAATTAAACCGACTCGAGTATGACTCCATGCCGGCCCAGGCTGTTAAGGAGGTTTTGAGAGATCACCTGCTAGTGACTTCAGTTTCAACAGAAAATATTAACGATTGAGATCCCAGACAAAAAAAATCGCTTAGGAGAGCAAACCGCGGAAGCATTCGGTTGCGAACGAAAGCTTAAATTGCAGTCCTTGTCTACTCCGGCATCCCCATTTGTTGCTAATTTGCTGGCAACAACTCTACTTGTTTGCAGTGTTTTTCATTTTTGGTTTTAAAGCCAAGCGAGATGTCAAACGAGAAACTTCTTTTCACCAAACCCCCCCCCCCCCATCGTTTTCTCTTTTTACCTCAGTTAAGCTTTCGTCTGGCTTGGTATCTCTTACTTTGCAAGCTAGAAACAAAAACAACAACAATAACAACAAAATAAACGCCTCTCGATCTCTTTCAAACGCCTCTTATCTATTAAACTTCCCCGCTTGGACCCCCAAAATTAAATAGAATCAGTTGTAAGATCCGCAGCGCCACTTTTCGTTCGGCGAAAATCGTTAATTTTGTAAATTTTGCAGTTTGCGAAAGGCCATCGCGAAAAATCGTTAATTTTGTAAATCCTGAACATAAGTGAACAAGCCTGGCCAATAACACTTTTCCAGTGTATCATAAAAACTTAAAATGCAACTGATGAAAAAGAAACTCAACACTTTTTGATCGCGAAAAGGGCATATCTCGCTTTGATATATTTTAAAAAGTTTAATTTACGGACACCAACCCCATACGGCGTCTAAAATTAGAATCTTATTCTAAAGCTCATTTTTTACACAGTATTTGTGATTCGATAACGTCTGGTTTTATTCGCTCCCATAAAAGGGAGTTATTTTAATGAAAGATGTGCGGTTTAGAAAATGTTGTATTTATGATAATTGACCGTTTTTCTTCTCAGAAAAGGTGTGTTCTTGAATTTCTAAAGCACTGACTGGACTGAACAGAGAATAACTCCGTTTAAAGTATTTGTTAATATCTCTTCCTATCGTCTTATTCCTAAGTAAAAAAGGTAAAAGATATTTTGACAGGAATTAACTGTGTGTCAGAGAACAAAACGAAGGTTTCAAAAACATGGAAAATTCTACTCAACGAATCAATTGAATCAAGGCTTGGTTGAATAGGAAATAACGTCTCAACAGCGTCCATCAAAATATCTTGGAACAGTTCTCTGATCATTTAATTTTTTTTTTTTTGAATTACCAAAAATGCGTTGATTTCTCTGGCTCTAAAGGTCCATTCTCAAAATATCTATTTTACTCACGGTTTGATGAAGCTTTCTACAGCGCGTTGTGCCTCGCCGTCGCGGGTTTGTCGCGCGAGCGATATTCTTCGCCCCAGTAATAGTAGAATTTATGTAAAAGAACCTTGATATCTAAAGGAAACATATTTATAGCGAACATATTTCCATGGCAGTCCCTTAGTCATTCATTATATCAAGGCTCCCCTGTAGTTGGTGTCACCAAACTGTTGTGAATATACCGTTTAAAAGCGAGCAGAATAGATACTTAAAATATGACTGAAAAAGCCAGTTCATGAGCTTTGCCAAAAAAAATAAAAATTACAAAGGACCACGCATTATTTGTTAATCAAGCTGCACTTGCTTGAAACATAACTCTCTGAGCATGGTTCTTATCACCAACAACTGAATGAATGGTTGATATAGCTTAAAAGGGGGTAAATTATACTGTCACAAGCAACCGCAACGCGGATCGATGCGTTCGTTTCGAATATCTATTGGGGTGCCATAATTTAAATTTCGTATATAGGCAGTTGGATAGAAAAACTGTTAAAGGTAATTTCACTGAATAAGTAAAAATTCGTCGAATCTACGTTTCTATACATTTTCGTTCATGTTATACAATCATAGAATACATCAACGTTAAATATCTAGTATGATGATCACGGATTATTTTTTTGGTCCAAAAAAGCCTCGAGCCGGGAGAACATAATGGCGTCTTCAAACTTACCGTTAGGTGTGAACAAAAGGGTAAGCCCACATACGAGAAAAGCCAGCATTTTGCTCTATTTTGTTTGTTTTTTTTTTCCAAATTCTCTAGATTGTCTTGAACTTATCCTTCACTGGCACTCCCTTTTCTGGATGAATAAATGTGTTTTCTTCTTAATGACCAAAATGATAATGGGAACACGATAAATAATGTAATAGAAGATTATTGTTGTAAATATTGCTGTCAGTCTTTTCGACCTTTACGAAAAAGATAAGTTTAAAATTATTACATAGATATAGTCAAACACTGACAAAATCTCTTATAACAACAAAAAAGATAATAAACGTAAACGCGACAGGAAATGTTTTTCCTTCAAGAAGTGTATTCGCTTGTTATTAAACTTCAAGATCATTTGCATATAATTTGCTTTCACTCAAAATGCTGTTTTTGTTATGATTTCTTCAGAAATTAAATCTTTAATCAACCATTGACGTTGAATTAAAATAACCGAAAAATCCGCTGTTAAAAAGTAACCAAGCAAAAGAAACAGAGCTACCTTGAGCGGAATCTCCTTATTTGCATAGCGCAGTGAAACTCTTTAAAAAGGCTTTTCTTATTAAATAAGCTAAATATAACGACATTTCAACATAAATGTTTTGAATTTTCAAAATTTAAAATTTAACAGAAGAAACATTTTCATTGCTCGGGCTTTCGTTGGATAGAAAAAGACGAGACTGCTAGAGAAGTGTTTTCTCCTCTCTTCCGCCGCAGCAAACCTCTTGTTTTTGCCTCCGACCTGGACTTTAATTTGCATCCGAAACGTTTTCCCGTGTCCGTTAACCATCTTCTCACAGGTTTTTCTCAGGGCTATAAGATTAATGGCTATTCAGGTCCAAGAGCCCCAAGGAATATTCTAACCTTTCCTGTGCAAATACCGATGCATTAGTTATTGTACCCTGGGCCACACAGCGGGGCCTTTTCACACCCCTCCCTTCTCAAACCTGCAGGTATACCCCATTGGGGTCATTCCCAAGAAACACTCCTGCAAACTGGGTACTATATTCACCTTTCGTATCCGAAATACTGCCCCAGCAGTGTCACCGCCCACGTTCCTCCCGAGTCCTATTCTTTGCAATACATTTTACTTTGACCATGCAATTGCCATACTTTAGGATCTCGGCCCAGAATGCTTCATGTCCCAACTAGATATAAAATCAGCATTTCGCAATGTTCCTGTCCATCTCTCAGATTGGGAGATCCTAGGATGGAATGAGAGGGGCTCTATTTCTTCGATATAGTCCTCCCATTCGGTCTTAGGTCTGCCCCCTTTCTTTTTGATGAATTCTCTTCTGCTCTTGAATGGATCATTTGAACTAAAGTCAATATTCCCAAGGTTATTCATATACTAGATGATTTCGTTTTTGCAACCTCCCCTCCCCGATCAAAATGCATGACTACTCTATGCTAAATTTTAGAATAGAATATTCCCATAGCTCCTGGGAAAACCTTCCCTACATGCACATGCCTTGAATTTGTAGAAATCCTATTAGATTCCAATAAAATGGACGCCCGTCCCGCTACCGGTAGATAAACTCACCCGCATACAGGAAGCCCTTGGGCAGTGGACTAATGGGAAATCTACTACCTTACAGGAGCTCCAGTCTTTGATTAGCACCCTTCAACTTGGTTGTAACGTTATTGCCCCTGGCCACCCCTTCTTGCAAACCCATTATTCACCTTAAAAAGGGATCAAGTTTCCTCACTGGCACATTCGCCTTAATTCAGGTTTCCGTAAGGACATTAATATGTTGCAACACTTTCTCCAAAATTGCAATGGGATGTCTTTCTTTTCATATACCTAGGCCACCTCTCCACCGGGACTTCAGCTATACACTGATGATTCTGGTTCCCTTGGGTTTGGGGGTTTCTAATTAAGTGAATGGTTCCAGTGCCACTGGCTCCCCCACCACATGCGCTCAGCCAAAAAAGGGGTATCAGTATTCAATGGCAGGAGCTATTTCCCATATATTTGGCTTGTATTTTATGGGGTCTCCACTGGTCTGGTAAAAGGATCCGCATGTGGTGTGACAACAAGTCTGGTTGCCATCATAAACTCTAAACACTCCAAGTCCACCCAGGTAATTGACCTCTTTCGAGCAATCACATGTCAAACGCTCAAATACAACTTTGCATTCACGGCTGAGACAATTCTATTGCTGATTTACTTTCCCGTTTTCAGACGGACTGCTTCCTTACCCTTGCTCACTGCGCGTTTCCCCTCCATCAGCGATGAGCATCTGAGAATCGTGGAAAGTACACCCGTCAGGAGCCAAGATTGACGCAAAATTTTGAGCTCCCACTTCTTACCTTAATGAGTCATTTTTCTACTGTCCTTTTATTGGTAGTTTTCACTAAATTATGCCGAAAGAGACAGTTTCTTCACTAAAGCAACAAATTCAAGATTTAAAGGATAAGGTCTTAAAAAGACTAATGATTGCTTAATGTTAACAACATGGCGAGCGTGGAGTTGCGAGCTCTGATGAAACGTGGTCAAACTCCATCTCATTTGATGATAACAAGCATTAATGAAAATGAAATGGTTAGCCAGCAGGTCTAAGAGATTTTGTACAATCCCAACTCAACTTACAAGGGTCGTGGGATGAGAAAAACAATGGAAATCAACTTGTCTACAAATACGGTGATAGATCAGCCACAATTAACTGGTACAATAAAACATCGACATTACAGGTCCAGGGCCCAAACAAGGATCAAGTGACAAGAGATACTGCGCATTGGGCGAACAAGAGTTCGACTAAATCGCCTCCATCCTTAATTGATATCATTTACCATCCATTTCATCGACTGTGGGCAGCGAAAAGTTGGAAGCAACTACTGAAGCTGAATTATCATCTACTCTTTATTAAAACGGAGATACATCATGTGAAGGCTCTATCTGCCTGATAGAAGCCATCAAGAACAGTTGTCAAGAAGATGAAACACAAACTGTCAAATTTTCAAAAACGTTTGGATGAACTCAACTCAAAATTTTCATCGAACTTAAATGCAAATCAGACTGTAGAAGTCACGGCGCGTGGAAACGCCAAGACTGCAATCAGCAGTGAAGAGGTTATTATCCAAGAAATTAGGAAATCCAAGGCAAGAATAGTACAGAGTCTTCACAACCTTGAATGTCGGCCTAGTGAAATTGTTCACGACGTTTAAATCCATTTGTACATAAGGAAGCCCATCAAGTAGAAAACCAAGATGCTGAAATCTACGAATCCACAAGTGTTAATGGCAATCATGAAGCCAGCGTTGAAAGTCTCGAGGGAGAATGGAATTGAGTGAGGGACCCATCAAAGCCAATTCAAGAAATTGACACACTTATTGTGGGCGACTCCGCACAATCAAGGATATCAAATCAAACCTAGCTTGGTGTCAGCTTCTAAAAGTGGGGGGGGCGGGGGGTGGGGAAAAGGGTAGAACGGAATAGTATAAAAGGCAAAACTCTCAGTGCAGCACAGACTAAAAAGGAAAATGAAAAACAATTTTTAGTTTGTAAAAATGTACATAGACACGCAAAAAACAAACGCA